GACCAGTCCAGCAAAGCAAAACAAAGCCCAGGGTGGATCACAACGTCACCACACTCCGAGCACAAGTAAAGGCCACAAGGCCAGTTCACATGCAGTGCTAGATATAGTACAAGACAAGCAACACAGTGATCAAAACCTAGCAAGCAAGCAACAAGATATATATAAAGTACAGTACAAAGAATGTCAAGCAGTGAGCAAGTGAGGAAACGTGGACACAAGGCCTAAAGAAGTACAGTGCCGCTGATGATCACTAGGCGGGAGCGCCTTGGTGAAGATATCAGCAGTGTTGGCCTTCGAGTCCACGTACACAAGCCGAAGCTGACCGCGCTGCTGAAGCTCTCGAGCAAGAAAGTAGCGAAGAGCAATGTGCTTCGTCCTGTGCTCCAGTCTGTGCTCCTGACACAAGGCAAGAGCCGCCTTGTTGTCACCGTACAGAACTGGAGGAGAACTAGGCCGCTCTCCCAAGTCAGTCAGCAGGTAGGTGAGCCAGCGTAACTCCTGTGCAGCCATGGCTGTGGCGTAGATCTCAGCCTCACAACTAGAGCTGAGAACAGAGGAAGAGCGGGTGGACCGCCACGAGACAGAACCTGAGCCAAGGCTGAAGGTGTAACCCTGTGACGACCGCTGCGTAGCCAGGTCGTCCACCCAAGAGGCGTCCGAGTGACCAGTGAGGACAACTCTGTCGCGTCCTCCAAGCACCAGCCCCATGCCTGATGTACTGCACAGGTAACGCAGCACCCTCTTAGCAGCCTCCCAGTGCTCTCGCCTGTGTCTCCCAGGCGCAACGTAACGAGCAAGGATGCTAAGAGGGTACGCGAGGTCAGGTCGCGTGCAAGTCATCAGGTACATGAGGCAGCCTACAAGCTCTGGGTACGGGCCACTCGGCTCTACGGACTCGTCCGAAGGTGGAGCTGAGAGCGAGTGGCTGGTAGCCAGAGGTGTGGCCTGTGGTGAGGAGAACTGGAAGCCGAAGCGCTGAAGGACCTGCTGCACCATGTGTGACTGAGTCAGGGTGATGGTGCGGCGAGCTCTGTCCCGGGTGATCTGCAAGCCAAGGTAGCTACGCAGTTCACCCAGGTCAGTGCAGGTGTGTCTCTTCTGCAGCTCCGACTTCACACGAGCGAGTGCCTCAGTGTCAGCAGTAGCAAAGACCAAGTCGTCGACGTACACGAGAATGTAGAACGGCGGCAGCGACGTGTCTGTGCGCAGAAACAGCGACGGGTCAGCAGTAGACGGCGCGAACCCAAGAGCCGCAAGAGTAGTCCTCAGTGTGTCGTGCCACTCACGTGGCGCCTGGCGGAGACCGTAGACTGGCCGGCGGAGACTCCACTGGGTACCAGGGGGAAACGACCCAGTAAAGCCAGGTGGGCGGCGCAGCCAGATCTCCTCGTGCAGGCTGCCCTGCAGGAACGCTGTGCTGAAGTCAAGAGAGTGAAGCTCGTAGTCACGCTGAGCAGCAACGTGCAGCAGAACCCGAAGAGTGGTCATCTTCGGGGTGGGGGAGAAGGTCTGGAAGAAGTCGACCCCCTGACGCTGACTGAAGCCTCTAGCAACGTAACGAGCCTTGAAGACAGGCGGAGAACCTGGCGGCCGCTTCACCCTGAAAATCCACATGCCATCGACGATGTTCGCCCCAGGAGGGGGAACCTCGTCGACGTAGGTGCCTGTGGACTTCCAGGATGCCATCTCTGCGTCCATGGCTGTCTGCCACTGAGAGGAGTAGGGACCCGAGATCGCCTCTGCGTAAGTGCGCGGAGTGGGGATGTCTAGTGCATCCGGGTCTCCCTCAGGGGCAAGCAACCAGGCCACGAGATGAGGTACAGCAGCCGCAAGAGAGTCAAAGTCCTCCTGCCTGTCCTCAAGGACGTCCGTGCCAAGAGCACACTCACCCCCGGCGGACGGAGGACAGACAGACGCAGACTCTGACGCAGCAACAAGGCTAGCAGCGTAGTCTAGACGACAGGCAGCAGCAAAGTCAACCAACTCAGCGACCAGAGCAGACGCAGCCGAGGACTCAAAGGTAGGGTCAGTGACAACAGTAGCGAGGAGACGCGTGACTGTAGGGTGCTCAGCGCGATACCGGTCAGACTCAGGGTCCGGAACGGCAGGCAAAGAGGACGCAGGAGGAGACGGTAGAGGGACACGCCGAGGAGCAGTAGAGGGACGCAGAGTCATGTAGTGAGTGCCTGGGACAGGAGGAGGACGCTCACGACGGACACGACTACCAGTGCGAGCAGGACGAACAGGCGACGCAGGACGAGACTCAGGCTCACGACGCTCTGTAAGACCTCCTGTGGGACCAGTATAAGGAGAGGGAGCAGGGAGAGGCGAGGCAGGCGGTAACTGTGACTGCGGCTGGACAGGCGGAGGACACTCTACGGAGGGAGGAGGACAAGGAGGAGGAGCCTGCCCAAGAACCTGCTGAAGGAGCGGTACGAAGTACGGTCGCGGCCGCGCAGCGTCTCCAGAAGCAGAAGGGACTCCAGCGGCCGGGTCCTCAGCACCAGTAGGAGCTCCAGCGTCCGGGTCCACAGCACCAGCAGCAGCTCCACCGGCCGGGTCCCCAGCTCCAGCAGCAGCTCCACCGTCCGACTCGTCAGCACCAGCAGCAGCTCCACCAGGTGGGTCCGCAGCACCAGCAGCAGCGCCACCCCCAGAGTCGGCAGCTCCAACTCCGCTAGCACCGCCAGCGCCAGAGTCCCCAGCTCCAGCAGCTCCAGTCGCAGTGCTCCCAGAACAGCCAGTCCCGGCAGCTCCAGTACCCCCAGTACGAGCACCCCCAGGACGAGCAGCTCCAGCACCCCCAACTCCAGCCGAGCCACTAGGACGACGAAAGCGTCGGACGTACCAGTCACGAAGCTGCTGCGGTGTGAGAGACTGCTCAGCACCCCGAACCGGAGCACCCCCAGACGCAGTAACCCGAGGCTCCGTAGGCTCAGTAGCAGCACCCCCAGGCTCAGTACCCGCAGGCTCAGTACCCGCAGGCGCAGCACCCCCAGTCGCAGCACTCCCAGGCCCCGCACCCGCAGGCTCAGCACCCCCAGGCGCAGCACCCCCAGGCTCCGTACTCTCAGGCACCGTACCCTCAGCTCCAGCACCCTCAGTCCCAGCACCTGCAGCCCCAGCACCCCCAGGCCCAGCACCCCCAGGCTCAGCACCCCCAGGCTCAGCACCCCCAGGCTCAGCACTCCCAGCAGCACCACCCGCAGCAGCACCTGAGTCACCTGTGACCTCGACAGGCTCAGCGACGGGAGGAGGGTCTACCTGAGAGACACCTGAAGGAGCAGGACCCTGAGGGGGAAGGGGGTCTACCGGAGGGGGACCAGGAGCAAGGAACAGCGGCGGGGGAGGGAGGGGGGCAGTGCGGTAGGGGAAGAGACGGTAAAAAGGGACCGACTCGTCAAAGGTGACATCCTGAGAGGCGAAGACCCGGCGCGAGGTGGGGTGGTAAAACTGCCAGCCAGGCGCGTCAGGGACAAAGCCAAGGAAGACACAGGGAAGCGTGCGGGAGGAGAGCTTGTCCGCGGACGTATCGCGGACAAGGGCACGAGCACCCCACACCCGGAAGCGCGACGCATCGCCAACCTCCCCCGTCCAACGCAGTGTGGGCGAGGTCTCCGGCAAGGAGACACGGGGCCAGAGGTTGAGCTGATGCGCGGCGTACCGGACAGCAAACGGCCACAGAAAATGGGGAGCCGCCGCGTGGACCAAGGAGGTACGAGCGACCTCCATGACCAGGCCAATGCGGCGCTCAGCAACCCCATTCTGCTGTGGGGAGTCCGGAAGCGTGAAGGTCTGCTCGATGCCCTCCGCCTGACAGAAGGTCCTCAAGAGGTCGGAGGAAAACTCACCACCTCTGTCAGAGTGCAGACGCAGGACAGGAAGATCCGTCCGGAAACGGCGGCGGAGCTGGAGACGAACCGTGCGGATCCAAGGGATCAGAACAGCAGGGACCTCACCCTTGGTGCGCAAGGGGAAGACCGTGGTGTAACGCGAGTAGTCGTCGACAACCAGCAAAAAATACCGCTCACCGCCCTGACCACGAACGCGGGCTGGGCCCCACACGTCCAGGTGGAGGGTCTCCAGAGGAGCCTCTGTCGGGGGGAACGAGGAGGAGTGAGGAGCGGCGCGCTGCCGCCCCTCGACGCAAGGAAGGCAGGGCGGCGCAGGCGAGGCAGGTAGGGGAGGGAGGGACCGGGGAAGACCGGACACAAGGAGGCGACGGTGCATGCCACGAAGGCGTGGCAAGGAGGGGTGACCCAGGCGGTGGTGCCAGAGAAGAGTCTGGTGCGACAGGGAACGACACTCACAGGCGTGGGCCACCAGACCTGACGCAGACACCTGACCGACAGCAGCTACCTGGGGAGACGCAGTGGTCAGTGTGTAGAGACTCGACCCCGGCCGACGGGTGAACGTAGCCAGGTGACGGCCAGTCCTGGAGCACGTGCAGATCGCCACACGCTGTCCGCCAGGGGTAAAGGTGTCAACCCACTGATCCTGGAGGACAGCGTTGCTCACCAGGTTCGTCGAGAACGAGGGGAGGTGGAAACCCGACAACGAGCCAGACGGAACCGCCGGACAAGGGAGGACAGTGGTGGACTGGGCAAGGACTGGGCCCCCAGAGGGGTCAGCCAAGGAGACTGGGACCGGTGCAGGGAGCGGTGTGAGCTCAGTACTGTCACGAAAGAAGCAACGGGAAGCACCTGAGTCAAGGGTGAAGGTGTGACAGGCCTCAGCCGGTGCGGTACCTGAGAGAGCAGTCTCTGTGGGTGCTGTACCTGAGAGAGCAGACTCGAAACCAGTCGGGACAGCACTGGAGGGAGCAAGTACACGGGGCACCATACCAGAGAGAGCAGACTCACTAGTACCCAGGGCAGCGGGCTCTATACCTGGGTCAGGCGGCACACACAAGTAACAGTCTCCCTCGGCACTAACAGTCAATGCATACATGGCAGCAATAATAGCATCATAGTCAAGAGCAAAGACATCAACACCAGCCCTCATGAGCTCAGCCCAGCGGGGGCGCTCAACATCCGCACCCATCTCCTCACGCCAAGCGTCGTCAAGGCGGGAGAAGCAGCGGTACGGGGTGTGGAACCTCCCACACGTCTGTCCCTTGCGGTCACCTGTGCGAATGACATAAGAACAGCGGGCACTGGCCCCAGACTTCCCACGCTGAGCAAGCCACTCACGAAGCTGCTGGGTCGTCTGGGGACGCTGCTGCTGCTGGGAGCTCTGGCCAGAGCCAGTGCCTCCACTCCGACCTCCGCCGCCACCACTGCCACCGCTCCGACCGCCACCGCCACCACCGCCACCACCGCCACCACCGCCACCGCCGCCACCGCCGCCGCCGCCACTACTGCCACTGGTCCCTCCGCCGCCCCCGTCTCCACCACCGACCCCACTCCCACCAGCGCTCCCGCCACCGCTCCCTCCAGCACCGCCTCCCCCCCCACCTCCCCCACCTCCTCCCCCCCCAGCGCCACCACCACCACCCTTGCCCCCCTTGCCCTTGCCGGTGCGGCGCCTCCCACCAGGAGTAGAAGCAGCGCCAACAGACTCAGCACCAAGGAAGTCAACAGCAACAGCAGCAGCGTAGGAGGGAGCGAGGGGAGAGGGAGAACACCCCTCAAAGATGGGGGTGCGAGGAGCGCCACGAGCAGCACCGACAGCTACAATGCTCTTTTCGGCCGCGAGCAGGTGCTCCTCTAGGAGGGCGACTGTGAGCTCAGTGGGACAGCGAGCAAGGAAGTGGTCTCGAACTGAGCGGAGGGTGTCAGGGAGACGGGTGACTATGAAGTGGAGTGTCCAGTACAGTGGAGGGGGGTTCTTAGCGCAGAACTCGGTGGGAAGGGCGGCACGCAGGCGAGCATCACTAGTGCGAAGGTGGGTGATAAGATCGGCGACTGTAGTAAAGGTGGACAGATCGGGGAACAGGTACGGCAGCATGAGGCGGCTAAGCTCGGCTGTGGCAGGCGAGGAGTAGCGAGCGACGACAGCGTCGTACAGGGCCTTAGCGGATTTGCAGTCGCCAAAATGCTCTAGCTCAGCTAACGGCAGGTGACTGCGAATGGCTAGGCGAGCAGCTGCGTCACGAGTCTGCCAGTGGGAACGAACACTAAGCTCAGCTGTGGCAGGAGGGGCAGGCGCAGCACCAGACGCGTAGTCATAGAGCGACACATGCTCCTTGCTATCGCTCAGGAGAAACAGCTGCAGGTCATCTAGCCAAGCGGTGAAGCGCACAGGGCGGCCCTCAGCATCGAACGACAGCACGCGAATGGAAGCCATAGCGACAGTGTGACAGAGTAACGAAAGCTGCCGCAGCAGGGGAAGACGACTGTGCACGGATAGAGAGCAGCGGGCGAGGCTGGCGCTACGGGCAGGCGGCGCTGCAAGCGGTCAGTGCGACGGGAGGGCGACGCTGCGAGCGGGCAGCGCGGCGGACGGGCCGGAAAGCGGGCAGCGCGGCGGGCAGGCGGCGCTGCAAGCGGGCAGCACGGTGGGCGGGCGACGCTGCGAGGCGGGCGGGCCGCAAAGCGAGCAGCGGGCGGGGGCGGGCTGCGAAGCGGGCAGCGGGGCAAGCGGGCTGCGATGCGAGCGGGCCGCGAAGTGGGCAGCGAGCGGGCGGGCGGGCTGCGAAGTGGGCGGGCCGCGAAGCGGGCAGCGGGGCGAGCGGGCTGCGAGGCGGGCGGGCCGCGAAGCGGGCAGCGAGCGGGCGGGCGGGCTGCGAAGTGGCGGGCCGCGAAGCGGGCAGCGAGCGAGCGGGCTGCGAAGCGGGCGGGCCGCGAAGCGGGCAGCGAGCGAGCGGGCTGCGAAGCGGGCGGGCCGCGAAGCGGGCAGCGAGCGGGCGGGCGGGCTGCGTAGCGAGCGGGCCGCGAAGCGGGCAGCGAGCGGGCGGGCGGGCTGCGAGCGGGCGGCTCGGCGAGGGGCGCGCGAGGGCGCTAGTGAGAGGCGCGCGAGGGCGCTAGTGAGGGGCGCGCGAGGGCGCTAGCAAGGGGCGCGCGAGGGCGCTAGCAAAGGGGCGCGCGAGGGCGCTAACGAAGGGGCGCGCGAGGGCGCTGACGTGGGTGCGCGCGAGGGCGCTAACGAGGGTGCGCGCGAGGGCGCTAACGAGGGCGCACGAGGGCGCTACGAGGCTAGGGAACGGGGTAGCGTGGTAACCGCATGCGAGCGGTGGTGGGCCCTAAAAACGATCGGTAGGTCCTAGGGACCTCCTGCTCTGAATACCATGTTAGAATCACTAGGCAAGAATGGATGAACTAACAGAAGTTTGGGTACAAATATGAAACCCTAGTTGGGGTTGTACCCCATATTGGCTACCCCACTACAGCCTACAAGCATAATACAGTTTAACACCACCCTGAGCTTGTTTTGCTTCTCTTGACTGGTCGTGTGACCCCTTGTTCTCCCCCACTTTGCCTATGGGGGTGTGTCAAACTATATGTGCTGCATATTGTCTAGGCTGTAGTGGGGTAGCCCACATGGGGTACAACCTAGTTAGGGTTTACTACTTGTACTCCTGCATCCTGTTAGTTCATCCATTCCTGCTGCTAGATTCTAACAGGGTGTGGCTGGTTTAGTGACTACACGACGGTTGGCTGCAGGGATTGTTAATTCAATCCTGCCCGACTCCGATAGTTCGTGTTTTCACTTGCCTGAAAGCCACGGATACCCGACTGCCCACCAGACGAAGTGCCAGACACATGGATCAGGGGGCTGTTGACTAGATGATGGCGCAAATGGCAGAAATGCAGGCGAGCATGAAGTCATTAATGGCGGAAGTGACAACATTGCGGGAGGAAAACGCCGAGCTACGCCAGACGCGAGGTGAAGCGCGTCAGGAGTCGTTGTGGACGAAGGCGAGGGCAACAGTCAGGCGATGAGCAATCCGTTGGATGCGCTCACACGTGACTTCGAAGAAGAAGACAGGCAGCGAGCAGCAGCAACGTCAACCACAGTGACAACGATTAAGATCAAGCCCGTCAACCCGCCCCCGTTTAATCCTACGGACAAGACGACTACAGTGAAGGGGTGGCTGTTCGGTGTCGAAGTCTTCTTCACTGCTGCGGGAGTTAATGACGATGCCACGCGCATTAATTACGCAGTCTCGCTTCTTCGAGGCGCAGCGCTTGAATGGTGGCGCCGAACCTTGGAAACAGGGACGCCGACAGGTGTGACACATGCGGCAGACGGGACCTCTGCAGCAACTAATCAAGGGGCAGGATCAATCTTCGGAGTGACCACGATACGCACGTGGAAGGAGTGGGGCGCAGCCTTGCGAAACCGTTTCGAGCATGTATCCGCCTCGGAGCAAGCTCGCATGAAGCTGCGTGCCTGGTCGCAGATGTGTCAAAATGCTAGGCCATGAAGCTGCAGACACACAGGCAGCAGGAGTACGCCGCACTGACGCTACCAGGCTAAACCCGGACTACACGGCGACAGGGGGTCGCAGCTGGCTCGCTGTGCTCCCAGGAGTGCACACACTGTAGCTACCGGGCGCAGAGCCCCGGACTACTCAGGCCACAGGGGGTCGTGGCTCCCTGGACTTCAGGCGCTGCGGACGACAAGTCGACGGCCTCCTCTCAACTTCCCCCAGCTGTCCCACCCCCTTTTTACACACCCCCTGCTGTTCCCCTAGCACCGCTCACACTACACCCCCTAGCGCCACTCCCTCGGCTCCCACACACCCACCCCCCTCAGCGGCAGCTGCAGCAGTGGGAGACGGAGAAGGAGGAGGAGGAGGGGAACGGCACTCAGTGGCTTCACCCCCATACCCCTCACCCCCAAACCCTAATTCAGGAGAACGGGCTGTAGGAGGGGTGGGGCGCCAGTAGAAGCACGGGGGACAGTGGGGAGGGCAGGGGCAGCGAGGAACGGGCCGCCCACGGGCCTGGCATAGCCGCCCGAACCGCGCGCAGGCGGCCCGAGCCGCGCGCGGGCCTGGCGCTTCCCGTACGGGCCGCGCGCGGGCCTGGCGCAGCCCGTACGGGCCGCGCGCCGGCTGTACGGGCCGCGCGCAGGCCACGACGGGCGACGGGGGGCGACGCGCGGGTCCCCGTCGCCCGTCGCAACGCCTCCCGGGGGCGACGCGCCGAGTGACGGGGCAGAAAACCGCCGCGCGCCCCGGGCGCGCGGCGGGAAGAAAAAATCGCTGCGCGCCCGGAGCGCGCGGCAGGCAGGAAACAGCAGGAAACAACAGCGGAAGCTTCTGGTGGGACCACCCACAGGATCGACCCAGGAGGGTCGACCCGCTCTGATAGCATGTCAAAATGCTAGGCCAAAACGAGAAACAGGCAAGAAGGGTTTTGACTAACAAGCATAGGGATACATATATGCAAACCCTAGAAGGGCTGTACTCGCTATAGAGTACCCCACTGCAGGCTAGACAACCATCACATTCTGACAAGATGGCTTCTGTCCAAGACTACACGGCGTCATTTATGGGCCTCGCCGACCAAGTTGATGACATGTCGGAAGCAGAGCGGTTGGATAAATACATCAGCGGCCTTAAATACGAGATTCAGTACGAGGTCCGCCGAAACCGCCCGACATCATTTCTCGAAGCTGTACGGCTGGCGGAGTCAACAGATGCGCTGATGCAGTACGCGAGAACGGCTTCCAGGGATGGAACCCGCTTTCGTGGCCAGACCCATCGGGCCACTATCAACGCCTTCAATACACCCGACCGCCCTCCTAAGGGACCGTGTTACCGGTGTGGGAAGACGGGTCACTACATGAAAGACTGCCCCGAGAAAGCGTCGCCAGCAGGGAACGACAGGAAGGAGCAGGGAAATGGGAAAAGTCAGTAATTAGCGGGCCCTTTACTGACTATGCTCCGTCGCCCGAACCCCACCATCCCCACCGAGTCGTGGTTCCGATTCATGCAATCGATCGCACTCGGGCGAATAACGGGGATACACATGTGGATCACCCTGTGCTGGTCGCTGGCAAGGTGTTAAAAAATAATTTGAAAATGTTCGTCGATGGGGGGGCCAGCCATAGCCTCTTCAATCTGGCGAGCGCAAAAAAATGCAAGCTGCAACTTGACAGGTGTCTGCCCGAAATCGACGCTCGCCTCGTGGATGGGACGCCGCTGGCGATAACGGAAGAAACACGGACGGTCAGGATCGAATGCGGCGACGATTTCGGCTTCAGCATGAAGTTCCTCGCGACGACGTTGGACGGCTGCGACGTACTACTTGGACGTGATTGGCTGCGACGACACAACCCCGTCATCGACTGGACAACGGGATCGTGCAGCATCAGCAAGCACGAGGGATTAGTTAAACTCCCTGCATGGACACCTGACTACATCCAAGCCCCATGCGTCAAAGCCATCACTATAGCTCGCCACTTCAACAAGGGTGCGCAACTGTTCGCCGTCTGCTTGCGAGAGTTGGAGGTCGACACCGACGGAAAGGACATCGAAAAGCTGTGTGCAGCTGTCCCTCCGGATTTAGCGGAGCTGATTCGACAGTACCCCGACATTTTCCCGGACGATCTGCCACCTGGACTGCCACCCGAGAGACCCGAAGACCACAAAATCCAGCTGGAACCTGGCGCGCAACCAACTGTTCGGACACAGTGGCGGTTGACCCAGCCGGAACTCGAGGAGCTACGCCGACAAATTGACGCACTGTTGGAGAAAGGGTTCATTCGACCAAGCACCTCCCCGTTCGCGGCGCCGATCCTGTTCACTCCGAAAAAGGACGGCGGGCTTCGCATGTGCATCGATTATCGCGCGTTGAACCGGGTGACCATCAAATCTCGCTACCCAATCCCACGCACCGACGACCTTCTTGACCAACTTCGCGGCGCTCGCTACTTCTCGAAAATCGACTTACGTGGCGGTTACCACCAGATCCGGGTCTTTGCCAACGATTGTCACAAGACCGCGTTTCGCACACGCTACGGGAGTTACGAATTCACGGTGATGCCTTTCGGCCTCACGAACGCGCCTTCGACATTTCAACTGACTATGCACAGGGTTTTTCGGGATCTTCTAGACCGATGTGTCATCGTCTATTTGGACGATATCCTCATTTTTAGCAAGACACGGGAGCAGCATCTCCGCGACCTGGACGCAGTGTTTAAGCGGTTGCAGGAGAACCGCCTCATCACCAAGGGCTCTAAGTGCGAGTTTTTTAAGCAGGAGTTGGAGTTTTTGGGGCACGTCATTTCCCGCGACGGCATTAAAATCGACCCGGCGAAAATCAAGACCATCCAGGAGTGGAAGGCCCCGACTAATGTCACGGAACTTCAGAGTTTTCTGGGGTTCGTGAATTACGTCCGGCGGTTTATCCCGAATATGGCGGGGATAACCGGCCCGCTGACCGACCTGCTGCACAAGGACAAGAATTTCGTGTGGGGGGAGGAGGCAGAGGCGGCTTTCCAGGAGCTCAAGAATTTTCTCGTTTCCCCTCCTGTGCTGCGCATCGCCGACCCATCGAAGCCGTTCGAAGTTGTAACCGACGCCTCCGATTTCACCATCGGAGCTGTGCTACTCCAAGATTTCGGGAACGGGCTGCAGCCGATCGCCTACGAATCACGCAAGCTGCAAGCTGCCGAGCGCAACTACCCGATTCATGACAAAGAGATGCTCGCCATTATTCACGCGTTCAAACTGTGGCGCTGCTACCTGGTGGGCGCCGACGTCACTGTGCGCACGGACCACAAGTCCCTACAGTACCTGCGAGCCCAGCCCAACCTCAACCCGCGACAAATTCGGTGGCTGGACTACATGGAGAGCCACTTCACCTACCGCATCACGTACAAAAAGGGGGCGAATAACATCGCCGACGCCCTGACCAGACCGACCGTACAATCCGCTGCAGTACTTATCACCCATTCGAACCCCTTACTTACCGGACTATTCACCCACGGCTACACTACGGACCCGTTCTTCACGACAGGGAATCATCAACCGACCGGATCTGGGTTCCCGCTTACCGGATGCTGCGTGAACTTCTCATCCAGGAGGTCCACGATTCGAACTTCTCCGGACACTTCGGGGTTGACAAAACCCAGAAATTACTGCACCGTCAATATTACTGGCCTGACTCCTCTAACGACGTGCAGCGCTATGTGTCCTCATGCAGGGTGTGCCAGGCCATGAAATCGACACGCCAACGGCCAGCCGGATTGCTGCAACCCCTCGAGCCACCCGAACGACCGTGGCAGCAAGTTACAATGGATTTCGTCACAGGGATGCCAGCTGGACCGACCGGCAACGACGCTGTTCTCGTCGTCGTCGATCGCTTCACGAAAATGGCGCACTTCGCCCCATGCCGAACGACAATCACAGCCGAAGAAACTGCGCGCCTCTTCATCTCAACGGTCGTGCGACTGCACGGCATCCTTTCGGCGATCATCAGCGACAGAGACCCGAAGTTTACGTCGAAATTTTGGAAGGAAACATGGGCGCAGTACGGCACGAAGCTACAGTTCTCATCGGCATACCACCCACAGACGGACGGACAGACCGAGCGAACCAACCAGACCATGGAGCAGCTGATACGGACAAACTGCCCCGACCCCGCACGTTGGGAAGATTCCATTGCCATGTTGGAGTTCGCCTTCAACAACGCACCGTCAAGCACGACTAATCACTCCCCGTTCTTCCTGAATTACGGGATGGACCCGACGGTTCCCACGGCAACTTCGCTCGACAACCTCGTCCCGAGATCGCAAACTTTTGTGACAGAACTTCAAAGCATCCGAGAGAAGGCCGCGGACGCAATTCGCAGGGCGAATATTACTTCCCGAAAATACACCGACCTTCTACGCCGCGAACTCGTCCTGACTACTGGGCAACTAGTGCTGCTCGACACGAAAAAACCTCAAATTCTCCGGCCCGTCCAAACTACGACCACGATTTTGCGGACCCTTCAAATCATCAAGATGGTGACACCTGTCACCGCGAAGCTGTTGCTACCCGACGACTGGCGAATCCACGACGCCTTCCACGTCAGCCTGCTTCGCAAGTTCGTGCCAGCCACGACCGACATCGCACGTCAGCAAGCTGCCCCGACGGCACGACCTGTCCCGGAGCCTACCCTTGACCCTTCCAAGATTCTCACTCACAGGGTCCGACTGGACGCTTCTGGACGCCACGTGGATTTCCTAATCCGCTGGACTGATCGCACCAGTGAGGACGACACGTGGGTGCCATCCGCCTCGCTTGACGCCACCCGCCTTATGGGTAATTATCTGGCACGCAGGCGCGTTTCGGATATTGAGAACCTTTCTTAAGAGAGGGGGTAGTGTAAGGAATTTTTCCGAATTCCGTATCACGGTTGACTGCTTCGCGTACAACCCGATTTTCGGACTTTGCACGTTCGGCCGATTTCAACGCTGCCGAGGCTCCTCGCGTCGCCTTCGGCATTTCCCATCGCCAAACCTGCTCCAAACCGCGCTCGTCCGAGTTTTCCCCCCCGCTAGGCTAGCCCTACATTAGTCTGCACATTCATTGTATTCTCAGTTGGTTGAATCACAGCCTCGTTATTCGTTTACCTGCGCACTCCTTTTACAACTCATAACACTTTGCTTTGGAATGTACGGTATGCAATGATGTTTGAGAATGCTTGAAGTTATATTTTCTCTTTGTAGAGTCTCCTTCACACTTTTTTCGTCTGGCGAGCCACAAAACAGCATTTCCACGGAACAAACCCCCTTTGTGACTGCATCGTTACATCGTCGCTCGTTATAACGCAATCACGGAAAAGAAACCGACGCGACTCGCCCGAAGTTGGCTTTTCCAAGCTATTCCCGAGGCCAGCAGGCAAGCACGCAGCCAGCTGGCCAATCCGCTGCCAGCATTTCGCGCTGTACTTCTCGTCGGGTTTGGTTTGGCCCCCTCGACGACTCCCCTTCAGTTCATCAACCTCCAAGTTCCAAACCAACCGCCACTTTTTCCTTGGCGCACCCACCAATTTCAAGGCCCAGCCAGCAGCAGCACCCTCTATCTGCCACACCGCACCACACCACACCACACCACCAGATATTGTGCATTGCATTTGTGGTGTGGTTGCTTTCTGTTGACTTGTTCCTGGAACCCTGATTTCTCCCGCCATTTTTATGCGAAGACGTGTAGGCAGAACCTAGTCTACTCACCTGTTCAGACAGCGTGCGTCGTTGTCTCCGTCGTAGTTTTTAGTAGGAAGAGATGTCTCGCTCACCCTGTTCACGCTCTGCAACGCTTTATAGAGGGTGTGTTTCGGTTTCCATAACTGACGGTTCTCGCCCGTGGCTATATTTTCTCGTTTCTCATTGACATGGTACCTTACCAACTGTGCTTTTCCAATCACATATAGCTTCGTGCCTCTTTTTCTGTCGCGTTATCTAACTGTTAATCGTTATTGTCGGACTTTCTGCCATTTCTTCGGGGAAGTTACGTTCTCTTGCCTAAAGCATATTACGCTTCCTTAGACTTACCAGTTTAGTCAGTCAATCTGGATCGACTTACACGGCGCAACTAACATAACATGGACGGCCCGGGCCGCTCATCGGGACAAGGCCAATGGCCGCCGCGCAATCTAGGAATCACAGCCAGCCCAGGACGAAACCCTAACGGTATGAACCCAACTACTCCGGGAGCGTCTCGCGTAGCGTCTGGCGGGAGCGGGCGAGGCAGAGGCGGCGCCGTTCGCTCAACCGTTAAGTCCGTCAAAAAACAGACGTCTGAGCGTTCAGACGACGAAGGAGATCGACCGGATCGATGGCAAGACGGTCCCACCGTTAACAGAACCCATTCGTACAGCAACCCGGTAGCGTACTCGGAAGATGACATGACGCCACGTGGCATGCCGTCGCCGTCGCCACGTGGGGGGTATGCCAGGGGGGGTGGCGGCAGAGGGTCGGCTAGTCGGCGGAGACGGGAGTCAGGGGACGGGAGCATGGACATGGGCGGGCAGGAGAGCGGGTACAGCTCGTCGCGAAGCGCGTCGAGACGAGAACCTATGGACGAGGTCAGATATTCCAGGTCTTCGCCATGCATGGAACCCCTTTTTTTCAAGGTTTATATTTATTCTTAATTCATTCTAATTTTTGCATTCCTTCTTGTGTCATCTGCTTTTATCGGCGGTTGCTGTTGCTTACGTTCTCCTGTCGTCTTCTTTCCATGCACTGTTTTCCCTTCGCAACAGGACGAGCGCTTTTCCCGAACCAACAGCTTCGGCCAAGCCTCGGTCAGTTCGGCCCATTCCGAACGCATGCTCGATGACGAGCGGCGGCCGGGCGGGGCTCGGCCCTCCGTGTCGCGCACCTCCTCCTCCTCCTCCGCCTCCGCTCTGTCCGCCATGTCCGCGGCTTCCGCGCACGGTCCGCGCAGCCCCGCGCCCTCACGCTCGAAACTCGGCGCGGGCGGAAGCGGAAGCGCGAGCGGGGGGGAGGAACAGGTGCAGTATTTCCGCGCGAAAACGATCGCGGCGGTGGGGCGCGGGGCGGACAATAGGACGATATCGGGGAAGGACGTTCCGCGGCAGCGACTGCCCATGCTTCCGCCGCCCGGAGCTCCGCAAGTCGTGCAGGTATGCGCCCCGCCTGAGTGAGAACCAGTGAATGCGCGTATGTGTTTTGTCGTAAGTTGGGGGGGCGGTGGGAGCCTGTGCGTGTGTGTCGGGGGAAAGGGGGCACGTGTGATGCGCGCGCGCGCGCGTGCACCTTCTGCGCCCTTTAAGCATCCCCTGTACCCATCTCTTTCCGTCTTCCCGCTTCCCGCTCCCCGTCCCCGCTCCCCGTTCCCCATCTCTTTCCCACTGCAGTGTCAATGGTGCTTCCAAACCCTAGCCGTGCCGATAAACCTGCCCCCGCCGAAGAAAGGGCAGCAGAAGCTCCGGTGCGGCAAGTGCCTCAAGGTGTCGCGCTATGCGGTCTTTCTTCCGCCCACGGCGGAAGAGGACGAGGATGCGGAAGAGCAGCCGCCGCCGCAGCCGCCGCAGCCGCAGCAGCAGCAGCAGCAGCGGCAGCGGCGGCAGAAGCAGCAGCAGGGGGGCGGGGAGGAGGCGGAAGTGGCGGAAGAGGACGAGGAGCAACAGGCGCTCTCCGCGCGCGGAAGGTCCGCGTCAACGGGGAGTTTCAGAACGCGGAGTTTCCAGGGCAATGCGCAGCAGCAGGCGGGGGCGATGGGCGCAGGGCGCGGAAGCAGCAGCGTCAGCAGGGGCGCGGGGAATATGTCAGAGGAAGACTCGGGGGGGGGTATGCGGGGGCCAGGGGGCAGGCGGAACATGAGCGGGGCAGCGCGCGGAGGGGCCGGCGGAGGAGGCGGGGGAGGGGAGAGCGACGCGGGGAACGACTATGGGGAGCAGGGGGGAGGGGGAATGCCCTTTCCGCCCCCGCCAGCAGGCAGACACCGCAGATCAGGCTCCAATAGCTCCGCGGCTAGCAACAGCAGCGCGCGCCAGCAGGCGCAATACGGGGGCGCGGGGCCAGGGCCGGGGGGAGGCGGAGCGGGCGCGGGCGGGGAGCTAGCAGGCGCAGGTCCGCGCAGTGCAAGGGGGCCGGGGCGTGGCGGGGCGTTCCCCCAGCCGCACTCGCGGAAATCATCTGTTGAATCAAGCGGAATGGGTGGGGGGGGAGGCGGATGGGAGGATGGCGGGGGGGAGAATGGGCCAGGGGGGCCCATGGGGGGCGGAAGGGCTGGTAGAAGGGGGAACGGAAGTCGGGGCGGGGACGAGGAGTATTATCAGCAACAGCAGCAGCAGCAGATGATGCAACAGCAGCAGCAGTATCAGTATGGGCCAGGGAGTGCGCGGGGGGACGGGCGGTCGCCTCTGGGGAGGCAACATTCAGGGGGGTTCAACCCCGCCTCCCCCTCCCCCAGAGGGCGCGGGCGGGGCGGGCAGCAGTTCGGGCAGCAGCAGCAGCAGCAGTACGGGCAGCAGTACGGGCAGATGCAGCAGCAAGGGATGGATCCCGCGGATGGTGCGCCCAGCCCCAGACCCATGGGGGGAGGGCGCGGGGGATGGGCGGCGGAGGCATGGGCGGAGGCATGGGCGGAGGCATGGGCGGCGGGGCTATGGGGGCAGGGGGCATGGCGGGGAGAGGTGTGGGGAGCCCGAGAATAGCGGGAGAGGGGGAATGGCGCGGGGGGAAATGGGGCCCGGGAGGGGCGGAGGCGGAGGGGGAGGTGGGCCCCCAGGGAGGGGAGGTATGGGGATGATGGGGCGGGGGGCGCAGATGGGGCGAGGACGAGGGGGAATGGTGGGAGGGAGGAGGGGTGTGGAAGAAGAAGAAGAGGAGGAGGAAGAGGAAGAAGAGGAGGAAGAAGAGGAGGAAGAGGAGGAGGAGGAGGAGGAGGAGGAGGAGGAGGAGGAGGAGGAGGAGGAGGAGGAGGAGGAGGAAGAGGAGGAGAGGAAGAGGAGGAGGAGAGAGTAGGGAACGGCCAGGAGTATCGGAGGAGAGTGGTGGTGAACAGTGTGCCAATCCCGGATCGCCAGGTGGCAGAAGCTGAGAGGCTGGCCGGACCCATCAATCCGGGCACCTATTGGTATGTTGACTGAATTGAATCAGCCACATGCATTTAAATGGCATAGTCATGTAAAGTGTGTCACCCTATTTGTGTAACACTCGATTACTGTGTAACTTTGTGAGTGTCACTTAATTAGTGTGTCACCTTAACAGTGAAGAGATTGTTGAGTCGCTTCAGCTTCTTATTAATTCTATCTTCCTCTCCTCTCCCTCTCCTCTTCCCCTCCTCTCATCTTTGCAGGTACGACGTGGATGCTGGCTTCTGGGGAGTGGTGGGTGGACCTTGCCTCGGCATCATCCCTGTGAGTACTTTCCCCATGCCCCATGCCCCACGCCCCACGCCCCACGCCCCACGCCCCACGCCCCACGCCCAACTCCCCATATCCCATGCTCAGTGCCCCATGCCCCACGCCCCACGCCCCACGCCCAACTCCCCATATCCCATGCTCAGTGCCCCATGCCCCACGCCCCACGCCCCACGCCCCACGCCCCACGCCCCGTGCACCCATGCCCCTTATCTGAAGCTCCATCCACCCCCAACGCCACTCCTCCCACCCACCCCTGCAGGCGGGCTTTCCCCAACTCGCGGTGGGGCTGCTGCAACGACAGGCATCAGGAGGCCGCACGCTCGTGGTGGTGAATGGCAGGGAGCTGCACCGGCGGGATCTGGACATTCTCATGCAGCGCAGAGGGCTCTCGGCGCGGAGGGCTCTCAACCCTTTTCCCCTTCTCCCTCTCTCTTTGTCTCCGTCCTTCCCCTCTTCCTCTCATTCTTTCGCCATTCCCCCCCCCCCCCCCCCCCCCCCCCGTTTCCCAACCCCAGGCGGGCATACACCAGCTGGCCGTGGGACCATTGCAAAGGTAGGCGTGAAGGCGCACGCGAGTGGTGGTGGATGGCAGGGAGCTGCACCGGCGGGATCTGGACATCCTCATGCAGCGAGGGCTGGCGGACGAGCCGGGGGTGGCATACCTGCTGAACCAACCCACAGCCTTGAGACGAATCCCATCTCGTCCTCTCTCACCCTCTCTCCCCTTCTTGTCCCCTTCTTGTCCCCCATCTCCCCCCATTTTCCCCCATGCTCGATCCCCCATGCTCAATCCCCCGTGCTCGATCCGCCATGCTCGATCCCCCAGGCGGGTATACACCAACTCGCGGTGGGGCCGCTACAGCGGCAGGCGTCAGGGGGGCGAACGCGAGTGGTGGTGAACGGCAGAGAGCTGCACCGGCGGGACCTGGACATACTGATGCAGCGCGGGCTGGCGGACGAACCGGGAGTGGCGTACCTGCTGGACATTGATGGGAATCTGGTGGACGCTGCTACGGGGGAAGACCTCCCTCCTGGGCTTGGGAAGCTCGCCCCCTCGTGAGTTTTGTAGGATTGATGTGGGAGGATTCATGTGGGAGGATAGCTGTGGGAGGATTGCGTGTAGGTCTCTGTCCGCCTCTCGCCCGCTCTCTCTCGCTCTCTCTCTCCCGCTCTCTCCCGCCTATCATGCCGCCTTATGCCCCTCTCTCTCCTCTCCCCCCATTTTCATCCAGGCTGGAGGTCAAAGGGAGAGGGGCGGGCATGTATGTCCCCAAGTGAGAGGAGGGGGGGGCATGTGTGTTTCGAGTGATAGAAGTAGCGATGATTCTACAAGTTTCAACAAGGTTCGGTTATGTTAAGATAGAGGAAGCACCCATGGCAGATGCAGATCCAAGTGTTGCTCTTTTGCTTGTCACCTGCTACTGAGGTGTGGCAAGCAGTAAAGTAGCTAGTTCATGTACTAAGTTCTAACCAGTGTTTTAGATCAAATGTCGCGTACGCTGTTGCTTCAACCAGGAGCAGCAGCAAAGTGGTGATCTGTTGGTGTGGTCCCAGATCTAGTTAATTTGGTGCTGGTTCTTGCTTTGGCTATATTTTATTGTATCTGGCAAAGCATGGTGCGCCATGATTATGTGCGAGTCATGGCATACGTAATTTATGAAAATAACGCAGTTTTGCATACAGTGTATCTATCGTAACTGGAAGCCAGAAAACAATTTTATAACATCACACACACAGACACCTGATTGTAGTGAAGCAATGTTCATACCGCATATAGAACCTTTCTCCATGGACTCTAATATATAGCATGCACTCACACATGCCTCCCCAGTTGGTCACGCACTGCCCGCTGCCCAGCACCACTCAGCTTTCCCAAGGCAGCAGATTCCCCTTGCCTTGCTGTTCCTGCTTTCCCATTGGGATGGCCCCGTTCCCACCTACAGGCTGTCTACTTTCCAAATGAGTGTACAACTTGCAGTAAGAAAGAGGGCGAATGCAACCTGCCTCTCCTGCTGTCTGTGCTCTAGCTGCCCCCGATGCTGCTGCCCCCAATACCACTACCGCCGCTGCTCCTACTGCTGGTACTGCTGTTGCCTGTGGGGCTGCTGTTACCACAGCTGCTGCTGTCGCTGCTCCCTTCGCCCACACACTCCTCGCCTCTCCCTTCCTCCATACTCACCCATACCTCCTCCGGACTCCCCGCCTCACTCCCCTCCTCACTACCCACTCGCAATCCTCCCTTTCCCTCACAACTCCTGCCCCCTCTCTCCCTGCTCCTCCCCTTCTTTCCAACCCATATCTGCTCACCTTCCGTCCCACTCCCAACCGCACTCTCCAAACCACCTGCCTCTATTATCACGTTCTGAGCCGTCTCAACACCCCAACCACCCCCCCTTATAATCACTCCTCTCTCACAATACCCTCTAGAAGCATTCTCCTTCCCTAGCAGTATCCCTCCATATCTCACTCTCCCCATCTCCCCATCAACCCCATCTGCCCATGATTCCTCTTCTCCTGCCCGCAGCCACCAGTCAACTGCCCGTGAAAAAACTCGACCCAGGCTCCAGGGCTTGTCCTGCCTTTGATTCAGGGCAGCCAGTTTGTCCTTGATACAAGCTGCTTCAATACTGGCATCATGGTCAGCGACCTCATCAGTATGGAATGGCTTGGGGTAGAGCAGAAGGGGAGAGTGGTGGGATGCAGGGGCTGGGACAGCGGGAGGGTGAGACCCCCTTGAATGGTGATTGGGAAACCTGGAGAAGAGTAAAAGGGAGGGAAGAAGAGAAGGAAAGAAAGAAATGGTTTCATGAAACAGGTGGGTAGCAGGAACGGGGAAAAAGGGGGCGAAAACGTGGGGGAGTGGCAGGAATAAGAATGACACGAAACGAAGGGTGCGACGACAAGAGCTTAAACAGGCATCACAGTTTTAGAGTGGTTAGAAATGGTGTGGCGTGGTGCAGATGGATGCTGGCAAGGTGGAGTGCGGTGGCCATTCATGGATGAGCATTTCGAAATCCAAGGAGCCATGCCATGCCATGCCTGGATGAATTGACTTACTGCGATGCCGCCATGGCACCTCGATAGAGAATGCTGTCAAACACTGTGCGAGCAGCAGGCAGAGCTTGAATGTGCGGAGTTCCACAAGGCACTGTGCTACCTGCTTGATCAAGCAAATCACTGTAAGGTAATGTTGTGCCATCTGCTTGATCATCACATTCTCCCGCTCCCTGGTCATCAAATACACTTGAAAATTCCCCTTACTATCCCAAGCACCATCATCACCACCATCCCCATCATCACCACCATCAGCAGCACCAGTAGCAACTTCATCAGCATGGTATAGAGGGCTGTAGTCCAAGGGACAGCAGGGCTCGTCGTAATCATTGCTGCTCCCTTGTGACAGCCCAGCATCCTCGCCACACAACTCCCTCCCACCGCACTCCATCCCATCCCACTCCCTCATGCACACTGCTGTACCATCATCACACACATCAGTCCCTGCATCCCCACCATGCACCTCTGCACCCCTCACCACCACTCCGCACTCCAATTCCCCTCCTCTCCTTGCCCATTCTTCACTTTTTCCTTCTCCTTCCCCTCTCCATCCACTCTCCCTCTCACTTGTTTCCCACCCCCTCCCACTCTCCCCATCTCTCAGTGTCTGCACAAACACATCCCACTCCCTCTCATACATCCACTCCTCCCCTCCACTCCCCTCCTCCCCTCCACTCCCCTCCTCCTCCTCCACCACCTGCTCCTCCTCCTCTCCCCCTACCATACCCGCTCCCGCTCTCCACCTCCCTTCTCCTCCGTCGTTATAGTCACCAGCAGCATTTTGATAGCCCCCATGATAATCACTCTCGCTATGATTGCCGTATCCCCCGTTATAGCCATAATCGCCATAGTCACAAATAGGCATGGACAGACGGGAAAGGAATTGCTCTTCCACTGCTGCTGCTGCTGCGTCTTCCTCTTCCTCTGCCTCAAAACGATTGATGAACCTGCTTCGGTTGGTGCATTGATACGACATGGAAAACACAGACTCACGCACACATCCACACACAAACACAGACGCAAATGCATGCAAGTGCACGCGTGCACACAGACACACACACATGGCATGGCGAGTGGATGGAGAAACTCAAGTAGAGGGGGCGTGGGCAAGGGAGAGCACACGGAGGGAACAAGCAGAGCAGGACGAGAACGAGTGATGAGAAAGGGGGAAAGGATAACAATCAAAGAGGAAACTCCTCAAGGGGGTGGAAGGAGGTGGTTTTTAGTTGACTCAAAAGTCAAAGATTGAAGGGGAACAAGGAAAGGATGGCAATCAAAGGAGGAACTCTTCAAGGGGTTGGAGAAGGCACTCACCTTCCACTGCTGCTGCACCTGCCAATGAAGTTTGAACGCACAATGGAGTCAGCCAAGCGGTGTGCTTTGGCAGGTGCAGGTAGGTGCAGGAAAGCACAGGAGATCATCGGCAGCATAGTGAACACAGTGGAGAAAACACAACTCACATGGACATAGGTTCGTCTTCTTCTTCCTCCTTCCCCTCCTCCCCCTCCTCTTCCTCATCTCCTTCTTCTTCATCCCTCAAACCAAGGCGGTAACCCGCCCCCCCTGAAGCACAAACCACTCCACATGCCTCTCCTCTTCTCTATGTCCCTCTGCCTCCTCTGTTGGTCCCCCTGCCGCCGCTGCTGATGTCCAACCCACCCCTCGCCCTCTCCCTGTTGCTGCTCCCCTGCTAACTTCTCATCTCCTTCCACCTCCTCTTCCGTCCCTCCCACCTCCTTCCTCTCCCCCTCTTGCACCAACCATCCCTCCTCCCCCTCATCTCCCTCCTCCCCCTCATCTCCCTCCTCACCCTCCTCTTGTACCACCCACCCCTCCTCTCCCTCCTCTGCCTCCTCCCCCATTCTGTAACCACAACTCTCAACAATATGCTCTTCCCCTTCCACCCGCATCTCTCCTCTTGCCTCCCCTTCATCCCTATCCAGACCCATGTCATTTGCCTCCCCTTCATCCCTATCCAGACCCATGTCATCCGCCTCCCCTTCATCCCTATCCAGACCCATGTCATCCGCCTCCCCTTCATCCCTATCCAGACCCATGTCATCCGCCTCCCCTTCATCCCTATCCAGACCCATGTCATCCGCCTCCCCTTCATCCCTATCCAGACCCATGTCATCCGCCTCCCCTTCATCCCTATCCAGACCCATGTCATCCGCCTCCCCTTCATCCCTATCCAGACCCATGTCATCCGCCTCCCCTTCATCCCTATCCAGACCCATGTCATCCGCCTCCCCTTCATCCCTATCCAGACCCATGTCATCCGCCTCCCTCCGCGCTTCCTGCTTCTGCTGCCCCCACTCCCTCCTCTCCCCACTCCTTTCCCTCCCTCCCCTCCCCTTCCAGCCCCTCCCCTTCGCCATAATCACAGCAGCCCCGCCTATAATCACAGCAGCAGCACCCACGGCAGCCAGAACCTTCCATCTCATCCACCCCCGCTGCCTCTCTCTCCGCCGTTCTCCTGCCTTCAATCCATCAGTCTCACATGACCCGTCACTCGCATTGCTGCAAGACTCATAATCACCTGCCTTACACCTGGCATCGCTCTCGCACGACCCATTTGCCTTCGACCCATTTGCTTTGCACGACCCAATTGCTTTGCACGACCCATTTGCTTTGCACGACCCAGTTGCTTTGCACGACCCAATTGCTTTGCACGACCCAATTGCTTTGCACGACCCATCACACACCTCCTTACACCCAGCATCACCCCCACACAACCCCTCACCCTCCATCCCATCAGTCGCACACGCCGCACTGCCTTGCTGAAAGGTCTCTGCCTGCCGTGCTGACCCATTGCCCTGCGCCCCTGCATACCCCTGTAACAACCCCCGCTTTACGTCTCTTTCGCGGTGCTCCAGACCACCTGGTAAATTCCGCAGCACATCAAAAGTCGGCCCCAAGTCCTGCTGCTTCCCTCCACCCCCCTGTAGCAACTCCTTCCCCACGTTTCCACCTTTCTCCAGCATCAAAGTTCCATCTCCACCTCTTTCCTCCTCTTGCCCTTTGGCTCTCTTAATCGACTCACACTCAACCAAGTCCTCCTCCTCATCCTCCTCCTCCTCCTCCTCCTCCTCCTCCTCCTCCTCCTCCTCCTCCTCCTCCTCCTCCTCCTCCTCCTCCTCCTCCTCCTCCTCCTCCTCCTCCTCCTCCTCCTCCTCCTCCTCCTCCTCCTCCTCCTCCTCCTCCTCCTCGCCCTCCTTATTCTCCCCCTCATGCTCCTCTTCATCCTGACTTTCCTCCTCACTCTCCCCTACACTCTCCCCTTCACTCTTCTCCTCCTGACCCTCCTCCACTCCCTTCTCGCTCCTCTCATCACCCTCATTTAGCCCATTCCCCATAGCAATCCCATCCTCCTTCCCCTCACCAAACTCCCCTTCATCACCAAACCCCCCAGAGATGCAAACGGGAAGGCAAAGCCCGCTCATATACCTCCCGCCTTTTCCCCATGCGGCGCCCTTCCTCACCACCTCCCTCATTTCCCCACTCTCACTCCCTCGCCCCCTCTGTGCTCCACCTTCCACCTCTTCTCCCCCTCCTTCCTCTCCAATCCCCTCTCCTCCGTTCCGTGTAGCTCCCTTGCTACCCCCTTCCATGCCTGCGACTCTATTATTTCCCTCCACATCTAATTTCGGGAGTAAATCACCCATGCCTGCATTTCCACTGCTACCTCCCATGTACAATTCCGTGGGTAAATCACCCCTGCCTGTGCCTCTACCCCTGGTGCTATCTGCTTCCCACAGGAATTTCAGGCTGCGAGCATTCTGTCTAGTTGGCTCTGCTTGTCGTTTCTCAGGTGTTTCAGGTGTGCGAGCCCACCAATCAGGCGCGTCCTGCTCAAGATTAGGTGGTAACTGGGTACTTTCTAATAGCTCGTCCTGCTTTTCTATTCGCGCAAAGCTTCTCCACGCCTCACTTGGCACATCATTTGGCGAATTACTTGAAGGATCACTTGGCGGATCGTTGGATAAGACTACCCGCGAATCCTCGTCATCCGCGCTAGATTCCTCGGGAATTGTGTCAAGGCGACAGCAGGACGACGGTCCCAATCCTCCCTCCGCCATCGTTGCCACTTCTGCTGCTGCTGTTGCTGCTGCTGCTGCTGCTGATATTATCTCACGCGCGGGCGTGACAGTATCGCCGGTGGCGTAATGTCACGTGAAATCTCACAAAAGTCAGCCCGTTGGGAGTCTCAGTGCCACTGCTCTTCATGAACCGTGGATCAGCTGAGATGATAAGTCAGTAAAATCAGTGCCTCTGGTAGTTTCAGCAAGCGTTTCACGGGCCACAGCTAATCCACAGCGTGCCGAGGCGCAGTCCAAAGCCGAGTTCTAACGACGTCTCAAAAGTCGGAGGCCAGGACGGCAAAGCCAAGTTGTCAGACGTCTAAAAAACACGCGGAATGCAAGACGGCATAGCCTAGTTCTGAGACGTCTCAAAGCTCCGGCGTCTACGGCGAGAAAATAACCGTTGACTAGGTGCCTCCAGAACGCGGGAGGAGGGCTTGGAAGGGAGTAAAAATTGCGCGTGTTGCGAATGGCCGAGATGGCACGTCGCGCGCGACCAGAGAGAGAAGAAGGGGGTAATTTTCCAGCCAGATCCAAAAGCCTCTTCGAGATGCTCGTGTCGCGAAAGGCCGAGATCGCTCGTCGCGCATGATGGGATGCCTTCCTCCCTGTGCTTGAGGAGGTTCAGCAATTTGGGTGTGTCAGTGAAATGCGCGGCGTCCTGATCGCGTTGATGGGACGACATTTTTCCTGTGCTTGACGAAAAATGCTTCCGTGCCTGGCTCGTTCAATTCCCAAGCGTGATAGCGCGCGCTCTGCTCGTCATGCGGCGGGTAATGAAACGCGCGGCGAAGTATGCGAATGGCTGCGATGAGGGTGAGTGAGATTCTCAATAAGAAGCGTCGCTTTCCCGCCATGCAAAAATATTCTGCCCACTCTCCCGCCACGCATTCGACTACGACTGATTCTCCTCCGTCGCGCGAACGGGCGTCGCGCCATGAGAGGAGGCGTTGACGGATGGATGGCTTGAGCGTTCATCGCGGAGAGAATGCTAGAAGGCATCACCGATGGCATCGCATCAATAGGAACAAAACGGATGAGGAGAAACAAAATCATTTATGGATTATGCACCTGATACCCATGAATCCATGTACACCCTGTTCTCGATAATTTCACGGCCCTAATTCCCGAACCGCGATTTCTTTTGCCCGAGAGGGTGTGAAATTAAGGGGGCAAATATTGTCCCCGATAATTTCACCATCGAGGCGCGGTACAGCTGTGCTGGCAGGGAATGAAACATGACTTGAATCGAACAAGAGAGTGTTGACGATCTTGAAAAATCTTTGCATCCAATGAAAAACAGTCACGTCAGGATTGCGTTTATCGTAACCCTGACCACAAATTCGAATCTAAATTTTGGGCTCCCAAAATTGAGGAGTTATTCACCTTCAGGTTTAACTTCGACACATGCGCGACTTTCCCAAAGTAACACGTGTTTGTAGCAAATCCAGTCCAGTCGTTATAACTTCAAGAGTTGCAACAAACATTGAAACCGTCTTGGTTCACACTTTTAAACGCGACCCGAACAGACCCAAGCTTCCCCACTTCTCTGGCTTGCTGACAGTATAAAAAGCTGATCATTTCTGCACATCTCGGTTCAATGATCCCTCACGGTTCGCCAGCTAGGCAGCCCAAAGCCTTTGCTGGTGATCCCGAGTCGGGGCGTCAAATTAGGGGGTGTGAAATAATCGAGAACAAGGTGTATTTCTCTTCCGTGATGGGGTTGATGGGGGTGACGGGGAAGCATTCTTGTTGAAAGATTCGATGGGAAACATTCGTCTCGGAGAAACATTCTTGCTCAAAGACCTGCTCAACCGTTTTGGTGATAAATCGTAAACCTTTGCCTCGCAACAGATCGCACTCAACCGTGTCAAAGTTGACTCCAGTGACACCTGAAGGCTACCTGTACAGAGGGCATTCCTTTTCGGGTTGAATCCAAACCGAAATTGTGAATTCAACCAACTGGCTTTGGGTGTAGCACAACAACCCAAGATATAAACAGCAATTAGAACAGGCGAGGATCTAATATATATCAGCATCATGGTCTAAGTACCTTTGGATTGAACTAAACAAAGGCTAGGCATCTGGAGGACATGTAGTCCAGCAGAGCATCTGGGCGCAACGCTCTAATAGCTTCTTCGCTAAGCTCCTCAGGCGAATCCCTACAGCACACGCCACCACCACAACCAGCAAGAGCATTTGAAGCCACATCAACCGTTAGAAGCTCCTTACACTGCTCCCTATGCACCCCACTGCACGCAGAGTATGCAGACATAGCATCGTCACAGGAATCATCATCTTCCTCTGCACTATCACTCACATTCTCTTCGTTACACCGCCCATCAGCACCACACACAGCATCCCTCTCTTGATCAGCCGTCAGGAGGGGTAACGGTAACCCATGACTGGTTACCAAGCTACCTGCTCCTTGCTGCCCAATGTAACCCAGAGCCCCAGCAAACTGAACCCGATCAACTTTCTCGCCGACAGCACCACCACCATCGGACGCCACGTCAGCCCTCTGCTTCCTCCACTTCCGGGACCCCTCCTTATCCACTCGGCCAACCCTAGCAGCCTTTCCGTCCAGCCGTTTCTGCTTTCCGCTGCCTCCCATGCGCGCTAGCGCCGCCTGTTCTGCGGCGGAGGTAGGAGAGTCTGCATCGCCTAAGTTGCTTCCGCTCTCACTCCGCGCAGGCACAGGCGGATCTCTCATCATCCCCCGGACGTTTCTTCCCTCGGCGTTCCCCCGATACGCTCCCTGACCGCAATAGCATTCGCGGAACTCAGAAAACCTGCCGTAGCGGACAGCCGCTGCCGCGGCGGGGTTTTCCGCATGCGGAAGCGCCACGCCGGCGGCATCGCCGGAGTCGGCGGCGGCGGCGGCGGCGGCGGCTTCCCACTGCGAACCCGCCGGGTTAGTAAACGTTCGTGCACCAGGGATGTAGGGCAAGGGTGCAGGATAATCGTGCTCCACGGTCCAATCGCTAATGTCTCTCGAGCTGATCGTGCCCGACTCCGACCCGAACCGCACCACCACCGCCGTGCCCCCCCCGCGCACAGTTTTCACAGCGACTCGAGGCTCCGGCTCGTCTCGCGCTGTTTCCGCGAATCCCGCCGTGAATCCCGCGTGACGCAGCTGCGCCTCCACCGGGTGCGATGGGCGCAGCATCCCTGAATTGATCGCCGCGATGGGCGCCCAACGGTCAATGGGTGCGCAATTGTCGGCGGACGCGCAACGGGAGACGGGCGCGCAACGGTCGATGGACGCGCGACGGTCGATGGGTGCACAGCAATCGACGGACGCGCTACGGTCGATGGGCGCGCAACGGTTTACGGGCGCGCAGATGGAATCTCCCCCCTCGCGCCGAGGCGGGGAGTGGCGGAAACTGTTTTGCTGAAGTGCGGGGACTGCAGGGGGCGACGCAGCTTGCGCCGTGGGGGGAACCATTGATTCAGACAGGTGCGGAGCGGCGGATGTAACGGGCTTCGCGGCTTCTGCGGCGGCGCTAGCGCCAGATACGCTACCCTTGCCTCTTAGGCATTCTCTCTTTAAAAACTCGCCCTCAGGCTTCATCGTCTACAATACTGAGTTTGAGCTACTACTCAAAAGTATCCTCCGGATTTTCTGCCGCGTCGCGCCGCGTGATTTTGCCCCCCGGGGTTATTACAGCAACGACTCCTAACGAGCAGCGGAAGCGGCGGGTACAGGGGCGCTTTTCAAAGTCGGGAACACAGGTGCTGACGGAGGATATACCACTTCCAGTAGTACGCACAATTGGATTGGTGGACAGCGGAAAGGACTGCGCTTGCACGACAAGGGGGCAGAATTCTGAACTGCCGACTGTGCGCGCCTCGACACCCCTAACGAGAGCTTTGAGAAACTGGGACCGCCGCGCGGAAACGACGTCTGCTTTCAAAGCCCGAGGAGATCATGCGTGCACGAGTTTGAATGAATGGACATGTTATGACGGACCTCAAACGACGCGGAGATTAATATTCATCTGCCTCAGCGACCATCGGCGGTGCACAGGGTTCGCAACAAAGCATCTATGGCAGTGTCTCCATTCCAACACTCGCAAATCGCTCGCAACGAACGAGGACTACGTGAGATGAGACTCACCAAGATGAGATTGTGCGCGAGCCGGGATGGGACTCGTATCGTTTCGACGACGAGCGAGGGATGCAAGCGAAAGAGCTCGAGTCGCTTGGCGTGGGGAGGGTTTGTCGTCGCCACGCCAAACCCTGAACTTCAGGGTCCAGGAAGTCAGGGTATTTTACCCTGATTAGCCTGTTTTTCAGAGTGAATTCTAAAGGTCCCTCTGCTGAAATTGACTTCGACGCTTGTACCGCCCTGACACGCCTTGACATGAGTAACCGTACCCTTCAATTCCAGGTGAGAGCGTCCTGTCAGCCCTGCCTTTAAAGGCGGGGTGCAACTTCTTAGGAACAGTAGGCGGACAAAAGTGGCATGTGTGTAACTTGAATTCTATTGGTCGAAAACTAGAAGAGGACAAACTTCTCGGCTCTGAACTGTCTGGGTCAACCCCTTCCAAGCTATAATACCTTGAAGTTGAAGTTGAAAGTTGGGCCACGGCTTTAACCCTGCTAAGGAGTCCTTGAGAGTCGAACTCTCGTGCTCTCCAATTTCAGCTAAGTCAGTGAATTTGGCTAAGACACTGAAACTCTGGAAATGCTGCCAAGTCTTTGAAACACACTGGAAATTTGGCTAAGTCACTGAAGCACTCTGGAAATCCGCCCAAGTCATTAGAACACACTCGACATTCAGCGCAGTCACTGAAACACTGGAAATTGGCCAAGTCACTGAAGCACTCAGAGAATTCGCCCAAGTGACTGGAGCACACTGGACATTCAGCGAAGTCTGAAACATACTGGAAATTCGGCTAAGTCACACAAGCTTTTCGAAATTCGGCGAAGTCACAGAAACACATCGGAATTTTGTCTTTGTCGCTGGGACAAGCTGGAAACTTAGTTAAGTCCCTTTAACACGCTAAGCCCGCTCAGTGATGGAACAGGCTGTAACGAAGTCCTGCTCAGAGCGGGTCTGCAGAGCTCAGCAGTGTTAGCGAGATTTCTACCCTGCCAGTTCCGACAAGAAAATACAAAACACCCTGCCATTTCCTGAGTATGCCGCGATTGGCACACTGCAGTGGCAGGGTGAAGGTCGGCCACGACTCGCTTCTGGCAGGGTGCCCAAAAACACATCGAGAGGCCTGCCCTGAAGGCAGCGTCGTGGCGGGAAATTGGAATGGCTTGGTTTGTTTCCCCCCACCTCCCCCCAACCTCCCCCCCACCTCCCTGCTGCTGAGATGGGTAGGACCAGCTCACAAGACTTCTACAGTACGAGGTGTAGAAATGCTTGACGTCGAGGATGGTCCTTTCAAACAAAATACCATCTTATTCCAACAATGTTCTCCATTTTACTGTTGACCAAGTCATGAAACTGTTCAACGAGTTGTCGTGCAGGGAGGTTTAATCGCGGAAGAACCCACGTCAGAACGGACGTGGAAGTGTCGAATTTACAAGAGCCAGTATGGCGCGACGTTGGGCTTGGTTTGGTCCGAACCAAATCAGCGGGATGAGTGTGGATGGGTCAAAGAATGTTTAGTGTGGTTTCGTATGGTTGGATTATTTTTCGTTGGGCTGGTGTTTTTCGAAGAAGCGCTCCGTAGGGGCAATGAGGCTGGCTGAACGGACGAATGTACAGTTACTTAGGCCGCTGGTGCAACTGAGTGGCTGAGTTTGACTGTTGTGGTGGTCAGTGGAAGGAATGGATGGAGCCTTGAGGAAATGGACGAGGTGCCCCGAAAACGGTTTTTGCAGGTTTGTGTACGTGTTGTGCACCCTCGTTCTCGTGTTTGACGCTCTCACCCTCGTTCTCGTTCTCGTAGCAGGCTGGTGAGATAACTTGGTTGCGGGCAAAGTCGCAGGAGGCGATGAAGCAAGGCTTGGGCCGAAGAAAAACCGCTTACACTTCATACTCGTCTAAACCGCTTTTAGAACAACAGTAACGTTTTGTAACGTATAGAACCTCGACTAAGCGCCTTGGGTTTATTGTCACTTTAGCGCATGTGATAGGACCTTCTTTGGTCCGTTGCGGTTACACAAAGCGTCTCTGTCAGTATAAAATATGCCAATCTATCGAAAATAAGGGTGCACTAATTCGGATTTCAAAATGCCTACGTCTCTCAAAGCGAAGCATGCCCACTTCGTACCGAGACCAAGAAAACATGGAATGTCGGGACAAATGAAACAAATGAAACCACTTGTTTTTCACAATGCTGTAAGCATAACACCAATCTCCATTGAATCGCTTGACTAATCGATGAATCCCAATTTCGCTTGTGGTTGAAAACGGCGCTTCCCTCGTCCGCCCGCGTGCTCAAGCGAGGATCTAGATTAGGCATCCAGGGCAAATGCTATTTGATCAACCAAACAAACTGAAAAGGGGTAGCCTTACCCAACAATCTATAGGGAATACCGCGCTCCACCTCTCGGACCCCTTCATTAGATAAACTTCCACCCCTCTGTGTCATTCCTCTATTTGAAATTGCCCTACCACCCATCTGATTATCGTGCAGAAGTTCTAGCACAAGCTAGCACCTAGGGTTGATAGGCCCTCCCGTGTGACAGTGTCAAGGCAACTGGACGCAGTGCTCCAACAGCCACACACTTTGCAAACACTTTCCCTAGCTCTGTCCACGGTTGTGGGGGTCCTATCGAAGATGGGGCTAGGGTGATCGCCATAATATCCGAAGGGAATTCGGGAAGTTCGGTGCATATCAGAGTGATCCACAATTTCGTCCACACGCAACGCAATGCGCTCACCTTCGATGGGTACAGGTGCAAAGTCGCCTGGATTGATTGGAGCCAAGCCAAACAAGCTTTCGCTACGCCACCGCGCAAAAACAGAGGGCGTTCGGCTGAGCATGAACAGCAAGAGGTTCGCAGTTGCCCGTGAGCCACAACGCGGTTGTCGCTGGCAGAAATGGTTTGTTCTACTGTACGGAGACTGTATCATTACAGCACTGTACTGCCGCACCAAGTGCAGTGCTGCCCGAGGCTCCTTCATCACACACCACAAGAAATTTATATACATAATCTTATTCTGCCCTGATTGGGTCTCCGCTGTCCACCAAACCCCATCATGCAGTACAGTTCACTGTACAGACCTGAATGAAAGCTGGCTTGAGAGGTGGGGCCGACGCGGCTCGACGCGACAGCTGGTCGTTTGGTTGCGCGAGGCGAGACCCTTCAGTCAAAAAAATGACTCCGCCCCAGCCGACAAAGGTTGACCCAGAAGCAAGAAAGCGAGCAAAGCTCAACACAAACGTGTCGGTGAAAACAAGTTTCTCGCCATAGCGGAGTTCGGTGTACTCACATCCGTTGGGAAAAAAAAACACGGTTTAGGATGGGCAGATTTAGGTTCAGTATGGTACCGTATACTTAGATAAATCGAATAAAACAAATGCACATTAGTACTGCATAACACCATTTTAATAAAAAGGCCAGTCCTGATTGGTCTGCACCACTATGTTACACGGAGGTGCAACTTGCAATCAAACACGTCCATGTCTGTTGACACTGGAATAACGTTTGAGCTCTGGAAGATGCGGCATTGGTTTCTACAGGACATTTCAACCAGTGTTAATACACTCAGCACTGTATATCGACCAGGCACACAACAGATTTCAAACACTACATAAAAAGGCAGCCATTGCGAAGCCTCACATTACCTCATGAAGAGCATACGCCACATGACTTGGCACAGTTAGCATGCATGTACTCCTGGTTCTTGGCACACTCGCCTTGGGTCTTCCAGTACACACAGTGCTGCGCTTTGTCTTCACACGACCCATCCGAAGGCGGCGCCATAGCCGGAGCTCCAGAGGGGGTGTAGAACGCACCCACGTGGATCCACTTTGTGGCGGACCATTTTTCGCCAGAAATTACCGGGCAGCCCGCGTGAAGAGATGCAAGGTCGAGTTCGGCGGACGGGGTGAGGGAGAAGAAGAGGAGAGCGTCGCCTCTGATTGGCTTGGCTGCTACTCCCTGCTTGCCGCACTCCGACCACGTGTCGTCCTTCTCTACTGTGTCCTGGTGGCGGGTAGATACAGGGAACCAGGACATGTTATGAGTTGAGTCAGCATGTTCAGCAGTTTCTGGAGCCGTGCCCTGCTTGCCACACTCCGACCGCGCGTCATCCCTCTCCACCGTGTCCTCCTGATGTGCAATACAGGGTAGATATACAGAACTGGGACACGTTTGAATTGACTCAGCAAGTCCAGCAGTTACTGAAGCAGGGAATTGACTTCCTGCTTGCTTGCGGCACTCCGACCGCGTGTCATCCCTCTCCACCGTGTCCTGTTGTACGGTGCAGGAAAGATACAGAAAATCAAGACACGATTGAGAAGACTCCAATTAGGTGCC